ATATATATATATATATATATATATATATATATATATATATATATATATATATACATATATATATATATATATATATAAATATATATATATATAATATACATATATGTATGCATCTTGTGACTAAAATAGATACCACGTATACTCCAGTTCTATTTATTGATACTTTATGATTATTCTCTTTGGATATACTAAGCGGACGATCCGACACCGTCACCGCCGCGGTATTGTGACGCACCAATAAAGAAATCACGGAAGTCTCGGTTCATGTGCACACCGTCAGGGCTTTGGATGTATGGTGGCAGCAACGGCATTACATGCGGATTCCTAAGCACATCTGTGGTACTTCCGACCTGACAAGTACACGGAAAGGATATGATGAGTGCAAGTATAAGTGTAATTTGTGCATGCACGTGTATGGGTCAGTGCAGGATATACCAACAAATATACGTATTCATAAGTATTCAAATACACGTATACGTGCACGCACAAGAAGTGTATGAGAGGCTATTATTCGATACATTTAAGTGTGCGAGGTTATGCTGGACCTGGATAGACCTGTGCTATGGAGTATACAGTCACCCTACATACAGAAGTTTCACAAATACACCAATAGCGGCACACGCTCGGCTCCAGCACACAGAACAAGCTTTTTTGAGTTGATTTCTTCTCGCATAATACCCTCAACGAGTTTTCAAGTCAATCTCATCCCATATGCGCACCGCCCCAGCAAGCGTTAGAACTAGTCATGTCCATAAATAATTGCATGTAATACATACCACGACCCTACCAAACACAGTACCATGGACAGGTACGGAAGCTTACCTTAAACCCAGGCAGCCCTGTGCTGTAGAGTATACACTTCCACCCTACATCCATCAGATTTACAAACACACAATTGCGGAACTCGCACAGCAATAATTCCAATTGGTTCTTTTTGGGATCCTTCTCTAACTTCAACAGGTGCAACGACCAGTGGTCCATGCCCTTCTGATATATCTTCTCGTGTACTGCAGGTGGTGTAGATACCGGAACATGTGCAGAGTTAGCAACAATGGCGTAAATGTGCATAGAGTAAAGTAAAGTATATGCATGAGTCGAGATCCCCCCNCCCC